CCCTTTTGTAGCCTGTGCCTTTGCCCTGCCATCAGTGAAAGGTAGAAATGAAGCTCCCATCCATCACTGATGAGGCACTAAGCCTGCCTGACATTTCAGCCCTTTTTGGCATCTCTTCTTCCACTGAACAGTGGACCCAGAATTACTGGGGTTTGCCTCCAATTTTTCCTTTTGTGCAACCTGAGGTTTTCTAATGCTGTAGCAAGACAAGTCCCCTGTGAAGCCACACGTACACTGAGGAGGAGGTCCCAGCAGTGGAAGTTCCCACCAAGCAGAACCACTCAGATTCCAAGTCCATCAGGATGGCAAAGGGTGGACTTGGGCAAATTCAGTCTCAGATGTGTGAGAAATGTGCTGTTCTCCCTCTTTGTCTTTTAGAACCCCTCTTTTGATAAGATTGATACAGGCATGCAGAGGCAATCAGTAAACTGCCTGCCCTTACTTTGTGAATATGGACTGCTCAGGGCATTCATTCCAGTAGTTGTTAGCATCTTGATGCAGCAGTGCTGAGAAACCAAGAGTATCCCTCAGCCACATGGGAGCTGACTAAGCTGTTGAGCTTGCAAGCTAGCTACCAGGGGGTTGAATTCACTGAGGAGAGACACTGTGTGGTAGAGAGTGTCCTTACCAGCCAAGAGACAAGACTGCCCTGGAGACAGGTATTCTGGCACATTGAGAGGTCTAACCAAGGGCCAAGATTTTTTTTTCTGCTTTGAGACCACTCCAGAAAGAATTTGCATGCAATTTTTTTTTCTTATTTCCTTCCACACATCTCTTTGTCTGCTGCAATCTCTGAATAAGGTTTAATTGGTTTACAAATTCCTTTGTGCTGCCTGGCTGTTCACTGTCATTCTCAGTATTCAGGAAAGCATGGGGAGGAGGAATGAAATCTGGGAGGAAGGCCTGGGGAAGCTGCCACTCATGCCTGAAACGTAGAGCCTCAAGGTCAGCACACTCTGAGGCTCCGAAGTGTGTGTGAAATCCAGGTGTACTTTTCTGGTCCGTTTCTTCCCACCAGAAAGTGGGGGAATCCTTCATCCTTCCTAGTCTGCTCTTTTAACACTGGATTCTTGTTGCTTGGCACCTCATAATCCTGTAGATAGCTATTTGTTCACTGAATTTTCTCACACAAGCTGGGAAGCAGAGTTCTTCTGTGAGCTTTAATGTATCTGTGTGTTTTAATAACAAATTACCGTTGATTTTATACAAATATCCCTATTTAAGAACTTCAAAGTCTTTGGTGTTTCCCCCCACCCTCCAGACTTTGTACTTCTTGCTGCTGCTGTTGTTGACACTCCCATGCGATTCAGCCTTGGAGAAATAAATACTTGTTTAGCTGTTCTCCTGCTGTGCCTGCTCAGTGCATTTGCTTAATGATGACTTCAGTTCAGCTTTGCAATGGTTTTAGGGCAATAGATTCTCCCAGAAAAACAAGGGACTCATTTGTGGACAACCTTACCTGTGTTCTTTCCCCCTTCTTGCCCCCCACCTCCCACCCCTTTTCCCCAGATCAGAGTTTGATTAAACAAATGTGCATGCAAAGGCTGTTTCTTTGCCGTGATAATACATGGCTTTTCATAGCCTTTGTTTCAGCGTTACCAGTTGCCAAGATCAGTTCTGGTGAGGAGTCACAGTTTTGTCTGTTTATTTCTTCGCTCCATTTATCTTGACTTGAAACAGTGAGTAGAAGGTTGGACTCAAGCAAGTACCTGCTGCTCTTTCTTGTCATTAGTTGAATTTTCTTGAATCTGTAATTTTCTTATTTTCGTCTAAAACATCAAATCACATTCTTTGCTCTAGAGCCAAGCTCAAGCCACTGTTTCAAAACCTGCATGTGTTCATATTTGAAGGGTTTATGTTATGTTTTCTCTATTTCAACCTTCTTAAGTCAAATCAGAGTTTTTACTTTTTACTTAAGACGTCAAGTTCATCTATGCCATCAGTTTTGTTCAAAATGAGGACAAAGTTAACCTCCAAAATCTGTATTTATGCACCTAAATGACGGTTCAGCTTTTCTTTATTCCTGGAAGTGCAGCACTACCTGGCAAAGAAATGAACAGGTGATTTTATTAATGCCATTGCCATTTCAAGTAATTTTGCACAGCTGAAACTGGAACTCTGCTAAATAAAAAAAAAAAAAAACAAAAAAAACCAAAAAAAACCAAACCCCACAAAATAGCATTATAAAAATTCAAACTCTGGAAAGTTCCAAATTTTGTTTTCTTTTTCTGGCCATTTACAAGACCATCTTTGAATTGTTTAAACTACTTATGTTTCACTTCTGGAATATGGCAAGTATAATTTTGCCAATAACTGGATCCAACTTCTGAGCTATTTTCTGCCAGAAAGCAAAAATCGCTTCAGTGAAGTAATACATCAGACTCTCTCTTCATCTATTTCCAGCTGATGAGGTTTCAGCTTATAGGAGAGATTGTTTTTTATTAGGCCCTGAGTACATGACCTGGCACTTGTGCAGCTGAGTTTCATCTGACTACTATCACTCCGGTCCTCGAAGTCATCCCACTGCTTTTTTTTGTATGATATTTAGAGCCTTGTCCATAATGATGATTCATTCCACAGTGTGTCATCAGCAAATTTTGTTGGCATGGTCCTCCTTTACCGTGCCAAGAACTGTGATGAAAATATTATGTAAGATTTATCTCAAGAATCATCTATGAAGAATTCAACTCATAACCTTCCTCTAGCCTGACTGAAATCATGGGAAATAGAGCTGAAAAGGACTTCAAGTCCAAACTGTATCCCAAAGACATGAACTATACTCAGCAGATACTTGTCCAATTTGTTCTTAAACATAGTTGATGAGATTCCATAACCTTCATAGATACTCCATATCAGTAACTGAGTCTCCTAATCACTGGAGTACTTTGGTCCCTAATGTCTGCCCTGAATCACTTCTCTGACATTTTTCTTGTTTTCACTGTGCCAAATACAGCCACAGAATTAGCTCATTCCCCTTGTGAGTGATGCTTCTGCTTACAAACCACAATACCATCTTCCGACACGTTTGTTGTCTTCTTCCTTTGAGCTGGCTCCATACACCCATACTCATCAGCTGATGCTTTTGTGCAGTAAAAGTTCCACCACAGGCATTCATTTGAACATGAAGCACTATCCACTGAAATCAATGTTTACTTGACTTACGAAGTAATCAGAGCATGATCATCTTCCTTGACGTTTCTGAATTTTAACCGAAGAAAGCTTCCCTCAGTTTCAGGTCTATTTCAGGGTCAGTAGTCTTCCGAAGGCTTCTTTTGCAGGAAGTCAGAGAACATTCCCTCTTGTAGACCTCCTTAAGTATTTCATTCCATATATGAAATTAACTGTTAACTTCCCCATCAGTCCTTACGAGCGCTTTACCTCCCTGTCCCATGGGTATTTAGAATATCCTCAAGGTTTCTGCCATGTAATTTGGAGGAAACTTTATGATATGTACATAGCAGAATACATTCTGTGTACAGTTTACCACAAAGCTAAATATTATGTTACCACAAAGACAGCAAGTTGCATTTGGAAACTCCTACATATAATGCTAATAAGAAACCCAATTCCATCTTATTCTAATTAACCGGAAAGCCTTCCTTTTTATAACATGAGAGAGACTTCAAAACATTCAGAATGTTAATAAACCCACAGGTATTTCCATTCTTTATATCTTCTGGTATACACTATTAATCAGGAATTGTTGCTCATTTCAGTAATAGTCTGATTTTCTTGGTCTAGAGAAGTTTAATATTTTGAACCATTGCATCTAATTTTTTAAATAATAAAGAAATCTTATTTTCCCTGTTTTTGATAAGAGATGGAGTTAATAAATACTAACATTGTGTTAGCAAGAACAGATACTAGCCTTAAGGTTTAATAGGAGGACCCTGGATAGCTCAAAGAATTCACCATGGGCACAATGACTGAATAGTAAGCTATGTTAAGGATCCTTTATGTTTCACTGGCAATGCAAAAGTCTTAAAGCAGGAGATATTAAGGCCTTGTATGCAACAGATCCAAGTTGGATCTACTACGAGCTTTTTCTTTTTTTTTTTTTTTTTTTTTTGTGGTGGTCACTAGCTTGTGCTGAGCCCAGATTGACTCAGTCTAATGGTTATGAGGCTTGTGAATAGAGTCTGATAACCAAAATGAAATCAAAATCCATTTTTCTGTCTAGTTGGTAGGAACAAGCTCTGAGACTTCAATCAACCTGAAGATGAGCTCCCCTTTAGTCTCCAGATGTCATGCCTTCAAAGGAGAGCTAAAATTCATTTATGGAAATACTTGGAGTCCTCCCTTCCACCCCTCAAATGAATAGTCATAAAGCTGTAGGGTTCTTAAAGCCAGATCTTCAGTAATAGCACAAAATACTGCCTTTCATACTGTGCTGCTAATGCTGTAAAATAGTGCAGTATATTTTTCCACTCAGAGAGCAACACCCAGTTAACATTTAAGTTAGTGAAGTGGAAATCTGTGTGACCTAATTTAAGAACCAGTCAAATGTCTTAGGTGAGAAAACTTCACTAAAACATAAATGCCACTGTATTTCTACTTTGCTTAAAAGAGTCCAGGGTAAGGGGTGGGGGAGAATGGTTATGATACAGGGGAACGCAGTAGAGAGAAGGAACCCAATATCCAAATAATAGTCCAGATTAACTTTTGAGAATGGAGGGTCTGGAAGGTTCACTTTCAACTCATACATATGACAGGTTGTCTTTGTGTTATCCAAAAGGGGAGGAGAAAAGCTGATGTTACTAGCGAACTGAGATTAATTTTGTGAAAGTCTGCAAGGCATTATTTATACTCTGTGTGCCAGAACTGTGTTTCCATTAATGGTCTCTCCAGGCCATGCTCGAAAAATAGTGCAGCCTCATATAGTGTAAATGAGTTTTGGCAATGTGAATTTAACTGTTTTCTATTTTAACAGACTCCTTCCCAACCCTTCCCTTGTTCCACTCATGAACTGTCTTCATGTCTTTGTGTTCTTCCTCCTGCAGTCCAGTACATCGTTCAACAGAGATGCTGTGAAAGCAGGGACAGGCCGGCGTTTTCTTGGTGGGCTTTTAAATGATACATCCTACTGCTACACTCTGGAAGTCTCATTCTACAGCTACATATTGGGTGGACCTAATTCTGCTGTCCCCTACACAGAAGAAGCATGTATCCTTTTGAAATCCTTCCTCCTCTTGCAGCACACGTGAACTGGGCACTTAAGGTAAATACTTCTATCTCAATAAGAGTTTTGCTGAGATAAGAACACACAAGTGGAAATGTGAGTCTGCTCCTGATGCTTTAATTTCCCTCATATTGATTCTCCATACTGTGGAAATTCAAGAAGAGAAAGGCATATTAGATCAAATAAGCCATTTCCCTCTTGTAGGAGATTGTCTCACACACTTATTATAGAAACGAGTCCTGGAGAGCCTGTGATCCATTCCCTTCCATAGTCTTCCATTTCTTTCTTCATTTCTCTCCTTATTCTCTCATTACCCCTGTGTTTGTATTATTGTTTTAATAGCAAGTTGAAAGTGCATCTTTGGTACTGAGTTAAAATACCTTCTCCGCCTTTGAACTGCAGCCAAAAGGCTCTAAAGGATCCATTAGGTTCTGCAGCTGCCTCAGGGCCACGTCTTTAATACCAGCTGACAAAGAAATGGAAAGCGAGCTCTGCAAACAAAACCGACAAAGTTGTTTGCATTTTTGAGTGCTCAAATAGAAGCAATGTCTCATTCCTCAAAAAACACATATTCATCTGGCTATCTCAACGTATCAGCAATTTGTAGAATTGTTCTGACTGGTCTTATGATCTGTTTTTATGTTTTTCTTTTTGTCACCATGCTCAATCAAATAACCAGTGCCCATACTTCAAGCTTGGGTGTGTTGTTTCATTTTGTCATTCTATCTTGGTAGCTTTTGAAATTTCCACACGTTTAGAAACACTGCAGAGGGAGAAAGATTAGCTGTGATTGCTTATTTACCTCTCCGCTGCATTTCAGAAGTTGGGGAAGGTTTACAGCTTTAGGGTAGCGAGGGGGAAATTTCATATGAGATGTAATTCTTCACCATCCATGCATATGTGCACACTGTGTGGGAATAAGAGTGAGAAACAGGGAGCAGGGAAAGTAATTTTTAAACATTTGGGGGTTTCTGGTTTGGCTTCTCCACTGAAAGTGAAATCAGGGGGAAGGAGAGGGATGAATATATTAAGGTGACTTATCAGACTTGAATATTTGGAATACAAGCTCTTTTTTACCCAGTAAGGTTAACTATTTCCAAGGAACAGCTTCTTGCAACATACACATATGTAGTATATCTTGCCACTGAGGAAAAAGTTGTCATTACTGTTTGGGTATTTATTTTCTTATGTTGGTATTTTGGCATTTTAAGAACATGTGCCTTAGTTTCACCTTTAATTTTCCTCCTTAGTACCCATTGTACTGACAACTGCTTATTTATCTTCCTTATTTATTAAGAACAGTTTTTGCAGTGAGGACTGGGAAGAGTCCCTATACAAATGAGATTATGATTCCCTTGAATATGTTCTTCTTCATGACTTGGTCATGCTGGCTTAGTTTCCTTTTCTATAAAGATTTTTGTTTTGTGCTTCACATTACAGAGGTTTCAGGTGTGGGGTCTAACATCTCCATCTATTTGCTTAGCTTGCCTTCTGCAGACAGAGCTGTGTCATTCTCAGTTCGTTCATTGTGACCATCAGCAGCTAGAGCACAAAAGACAGGCCCCAGAACACAGAGATTCGTCTTGGTGGTGATGTATGGAAAGCTCTAGCAGCAGCTTGATTTCTACAGTTACGGTTTCACCTAGTTGAGTGAAAAAGGAGGAGAAGGTACTTTTGACTGGCCTGGCAGACAACAAGCAGGGAAGGCTCTTTGCCCATGTAGTACGCTCCATTGGCATTTTGCCCTGGTAGGTTTTTTTATTTCCTTTTCAATGGAGGGATTCTATCAAGAGTGCTGCTTATGACAGCTCTTTCTCATGTGTGCAGTTTCCTAGTTAGAGAAAGAAATGGAGCTGCTTGAAGCAGCAGTCTCTAGGCTGGTCTGCTCTAACACAGGAGTGGCTGGGTTTATGCACATCCTATCCTGGCAGGGGAGAAGTTTCATATCACCGAAGTGCCTGTGACCAAAAGTAAAACAATCGCAGAACGTTCCAATTTAGCCTGAACAGCTCTTCCAAGCTATTTGCAAGTCAGTGATTAATTAACGCTCAGATTTTTTAATGGAGCTGAACCAAAGACACAGCCAGTCAGTTCATATTGGCCTCCAAGGACAGGCGTGCTTCTATTAACTATCTAGCTACATGCAGACAGCAAATCAAGCAAATAAATGAAGAAAACACAGTGAGCCCAAAAGCTGTGGAACTGATAGGGCAAGTATTCAGGAAATCTGCCTTCAAAGATGTATTTCTTAGGACTTTGTTCATCCCACTGTGATGTTATCGGGTTGTGGGGTTTTGTGTTGTGTTTTGTTTTGTTTTTAATAGAAACAGGATCAGGGAGGCTACAATTGTTCAAAGCTTCTAGTGTTGGATTAAGAAGTGCAGATTGAGACTCAGCCTCAGATTCAGAGAACCCATGGCCTTGAACAGAGACTACAAAGCAGATCACACCCCACATTCAGAAACTAGCCGTACTGGCTGTATGTAGAGACCAAAACAAAAGAGGATCTCCAGGTTCTACAAAAATATTAATTTAGCCTAATGTTGTTCCTGTTGACAGGTGAAAAAACTGAACAAACTCTGAATAGTCCGCACTGGTGGCATGTAATTCTACCTGTCGGCTTCTTTCCTTTACAACATTTGTGGCAAATAAGATACCCCCTTTCAGACCATTATATAAGTGGATTAGGTTTGTTGTTTTTTCTTTTTTTTTTTAAATCTTTTCGTGTTCCTCAAGGTTTACGTGCTAACTCTATGATCTATACAAACCTCTATGTGAGCCTGTAATAGATATATTTCTAGATATATTGGGTAAGATTATGCATTTTGTTCAGACTTGCCTGACTAAAACATACGTTCTAATTTTTGAGATAAATAGATACCTTACATGCATGAAAATGGGAGACAGACTTTCAGTCTGATAAGTGTTATTTGAATGCTGACATTGTTAGTGTGGACAGTAACTTTTTTCAATAAGAAAATTAAAAAAAAAGGAAGGGAAAGTATCATTAAAAGTGGAAATCTGTTCCAAATTACTCCAGTTAGTATGACTGAATGTATTCTCCTAAATGAAATACCTCAAAGATTCAGAATTTAGAGGATTATACCTGGTATGTTCCATAAAAACAAATTTGCTCCTGATGATGCACTGTTTAAATGAAATCCAGGAGTGAAGAATCTTTCATCAGTCTGTGCAGGGGATATATGTTTGGGACATATGTGGTGGGACAACAGCATGCTGCAGAGTGTTGAATTTCTGGCCTCTTCTAACATAGGGAGTTAACATGGTTGCATGAATGTCTCAGGCCTCAATTAGCATTATATCAGTATTACTCTCTCTATTGCTGGAGAGTCTCTTGTATTCTCATCCTGCAAACAAAGCACTGCATTAGGTATAACTTCCTGAACGTCCTGTTATATGTTCCTTCAGAGATGTGTGCCTGGTAGGTCTGTGTCTAACTGATACGTACTTGGTGTACAAGAAACATTAGGGATATGTTCTATAAGCCTGGCTCTGCAGAATACCCTACGATAACGTGTGCTGTAGATAACAGTAAATGGACTCTGTTTCAAAGGCATAATAAGAAGATTGTAGGCTTGTCGGTTAGTTGCCTGAAAGTGGTCAGAGAAATGTTTAAAACCCTTCTCACACACGCACACATTTGGTGGTAACTGATTAAAAAGGCAGTGCAGCAACAGTTTGCTCAGCACCAGGTAAAGAAGCTTTAAAATGAGCTGATATGCTTCCATTAAATACCATGTTTTACTAGGCATTTACAGGGCTTATGACACAAGGCATGTAAACTGCACTGTAACATTCACCATCAGCAGCTCAACTGCTGAGCTGTCTAGATACACACCAGCCTCATAGCTGGGCAGGGAACAAAGGATAAAAGAGGGGGAGGAAGGATGAATCCCCAGCTGTAGGACTCTGAGCGCTGCTCTGATAGCACACCCAGAATTGCTTTCCACTACAGCTGCTGATCAGCAGCCATCACAGCCTGTCCGGAGAGTGGCCAGTAAAGGAGTCTCACACCAACAGTTTTAAAATCTATTGGGTTCATTTTTTAGAGTGTTTGAACTGGATCCCTGCTGCACAGCAGGCAGCCCATAAGAAAGCATAAACGGTTTTACTCTTCCAAAGACTAGCCATGAGGTAGGAAGATAGGAATGATGGAGACTAGGCAAGAACTGTATGATTGTAGCCTGGTAGCTGTAGGGGAGAATAATCATCAAGATGGGTGGGCACCACAATTGTCAGTGTGTCCATGGCTTTTTTGTGTATTTTAATCTTAATTCTAAGCTTCCTGCAGGTGGGGAAGGCCCTCATCCAAACATGGGCCTTTAGTCATCTAAGCGTATGGCTTTACTCATTGAAATCACTTCTGAGTGGAACAGGAGACTGGAACCCTGGACTGAGGGTCTGGTGGAACAGTTCTCCTTTGTACGGCTTTTCTAAGCACATCATTTCACCTCTTTGATTTAATGTCCTCAATATAAAGAATTAATTTAATGAAACTTCTTTTGTAAACAAACAAACAAAGAAAAAAAACAAAACAAAACATTTTGGAAGCCATGGGTGAAGAGCACAGAAGAAAGAGCCATTACTAATATTATCCCAAGGTAGGTCTTTTCACATTACAAACAGCTGAGAAATTATCTCAATACTTTAAAACAGTATAGCTGAACCAACTTGCAAAGATATCACTTGGTATTTTCCATTTCACTGAATGTATTGAATTGGAAGCTTTGCATTCCTTAAACGGTGTAATTGCACTGCTGAAGTCTCTCTCCTGTTTACGGACATAAAAACCATGTATTTATGTGGCTACAGCCACAGAATGAAAGCTTGGATTGACTAGAGTCTCTTCAGGTGCCTAACAGGAGCTTGCATCTTGGACTCTTGGCACGGTTGGGACCACTGGGTTCACTCTTATTCTTAACTTCAAGCAGAATATCAGCCTGCTGCTTGACTGGGGACTTGAGAAGTTAAATCCCCTGGAGGAAAGAGTCATTTGCTTATATT